CACAAATCAAAATGTGAATTTCAGGATTTAATAAAATTTTAAAAATATTTCTTTCTTTTTTTTTTCTTTTTGTAATTCAGGAATAATTCAAAAAAAAATTTTTTTTTTTCAGGATTTATCAAAGGTACAAAATGTGTCTGAAAATCGATTAAAACAAAAAAATCCATTTAAAGAATTTATTAGTGCACTTCGAAGTTCAATTCCTTTGGTTCCAAGTGTAACAACCGGACAGCAATCCCCACTGCTACCGGTTCTATCTTTTCCTGATTTATTAATTTCCGGTTTTTTTTTTTTGCAAGATTGAAATATTTGAAATTTTTGTGATTGAAATGTTAATTAAATTTATTTGAAATAAAAAAAAAAAGGAAATAGGAACAATTATTGCCATTGCTACCAGTTTTATCTTTTCCTGATTTATCAATTTCCGGTTTTTTTTTTTTGCAAGATTGAAATATTTAAAATTTTTGTGATTCAAATGTTTGTGTAATTAAATGTATTCGAAATAAAAAAAAAAAAGAAAAACGAATAGGAACAATTATTGCTATTGCAACCGGTTTTATCTTTTCCTGATTTATCAATTTCCGGTTTTTTGTGTTGCAAAATTCAAATATTGAAATTTTTATGATTGAAATGTTTGCGTAATTAAATTTATTTGAAATAAAAAAAAAAGGAAATTATTTCTATGTTTAGAATTTTATTGAAAGAAAAAACATTTTACAGCCTAGCAAACGGAAACGTTTATCAGCATTGGAATATGATCCATCATTTCCGACAACAAATCCGGAAGAATTTGAAAGAAACGATATTGGAATTTAATATAATGAAAATTTTGCTACAAAATGAAATAAATAAATAATATTTTATATCTATAATTTTGCAAATGCTTTTGTTTATTTGATCAGAACATTATGTCACTTAGAAATTTATTAATACCGTCGTACCAATATTTTCAATCTATTTGATCTTCCGTTTCCAGCAAAATTTTTTTTTCCGGAATATTTTTAGAAATTATTTGAATGATTAATTTCAAATGTTAAAATATGTTATCTAACCTTTTTCAAATCCTAATTAATTAATAAATTTAATGAAATTTCGCATATTTCTAATGCAATAATAAAATTATTTACTAATTAAGTTTTACCTTTATTCAATTTTTAATTAATTTTAACAACAAATTCGAAATGAAATACAAATTAAAATTGAATTTTCATTAATTTATACTAATATTTTAATGTCTTTTTTTGGTATTTTGCTTAGGGCAATATTTTCAGGCAATGTGATCTTCCGTTTCCGGCAAAATTTTTTTGCCAAAGTATTATTAGAAATTATGAAAATTTTGAGATATACGTGAACGGTTAACCTGAAATTTGGATAAATTACCCAAATTATATTCTATTTTTTTTTTTTTGACACTTTGTTTAGGGTAATATTTTCGGGCAATGTGATCTTCCGTTTCTGGCAAAATTTTTTTTTACCGAAATATTATCACAAATTATTAAAATTTTGAGATATTAGATAAATTACCCAAATTATATTCCAATTTTTTTTTTTTGACACTTTGCTTAGGGTAATATTTTCGGGCAATATGATCTTCCGTTTCTGGCAAAATTTTTTTTTACCGACAAATTATTAAAATTTTGAGATATACGTAAACGGTTATCCTGAAATTTAAATTAATTACCCAAAAAATATTGTAATTTATGTAAATTATTGAGATATTCACGTAAGTGTGAAAAATTTCATATAAATTATCAATTATAAAGTTTTAATAATATCACTTTGCTTGTATATTTTAAATAAATATTTTAAAATTTTGTAAAATAATATAAAAATAAATATAATATTAATTCTTTTACAAACTTTTTGAAAATCTAAAAAATTATTTTCAAATGTAAATTATTTTTTATGCTAAAAATACAGAAAATTTGTGCAAAAAAGCATATTTTTTTCTATTAGTATGCAAATTTTGCTTTGCTATAAAAGTAAATAATAATTCAAATTTTTTTTAAATTATTGTTTATAGGTGACAAATATACGTGTCGTTTCCGTGCTATTAGTTGTGCTAATATTGCTGTGGTAAGGTAGTGGTATATTGAATTTGTCATATTTTAAGTGACAGGTGACAGGTGACAATAAATAATACTAGTAGGAATGTTTCTATTCAAGTAATTCAAGCTAAATTAAAGTTAATTAAGCTTATGTGACCATCGAATTTGTCATATTTTATGTGACAGTGACAGGTGACAATAAATAATACTAGTAGGAATGTTTCTATTCAAGTAATTCAAGATAAATTAAAGTTAATTAAGCCTATGCAACCATCGAATTTCTCATATTTTAAGTGACAGGTGACAGGTGACAGATACTAATATGAATGCTTCTATCCAAATAATTTAAGCTAAATTAAAATTAATTAGTGGTATATTGAATTTGTCATATTTTAAGTGATAGGTGACAGGTGACAATAAATAATACCAGTAGGAATGTTTCTATTCAAGTAATTCAAGCTAAATTAAAGTTAATTAAGCTTATGTGACCATCGAATTTGTCATATTTTATGTGACAGTGACAGGTGACAATAAATAATACTAGTAGGAATGTTTCTATTCAAGTAATTCAAGATAATTAAAGTTAATTAAGCCTATGCAACCATCGAATTTCTCATATTTTAAGTGACAGGTGACAGGTGACAGATACTAATATGAATGCTTCTATCCAAATAATTTAAGCTAAATTAAAATTAATTAGTGGTATATTGAATTTGTCATATTTTAAGTGACAGGTGACAGGTGACAATAAATAATACTAGTAGGAATGTTTCTATTCAAGTAATTCAAGCTAAATTAAAGTTAATTAAGCTTATGTGACCATCGAATTTGTCATATTTTATGTGACAGTGACAGGTGACAATAAATAATACTAGTAGGAATGTTTCTATTCAAGTAATTCAAGATAAATTAAAGTTAATTAAGCCTATGCAACCATCGAATTTCTCATATTTTAAGTGACAGGTGACAGGTGACAGATACTAATATGAATGCTTCTATCCAAATAATTTAAGCTAAATTAAAATTAATTAGTGGTATATTGAATTTGTCATATTTTAAGTGATAGGTGACAGGTGACAATAAATAATACCAGTAGGAATGTTTCTATTCAAGTAATTCAAGCTAAATTAAAGTTAATTAAGCTTATGCGACCATCGAATTTGTCATATTTTAAGTGACAGTGACAGGTGACAGATACTAATATGAATGCTTCTATCCAAGTAATCTAAGCTAAATTAAAATTAATTAAGTTTCCGAACTTTACATTATATATTCAAGTAATTTAAGTTAAATTAAAGTTAACTAAGTTTATGCGACCATCGATTTTTTAATATTTTAAGTGATAGGTGACAGGTGACAGATACTAATATGATTGCTTCTATCCAAATGATCTAAGCTAAATTAAAATTAATTAAGTTTACCGAACTTTACATTGTATATTCAAGTAATTTAAGTTAAATTAAAGTTAATTAAGCTTATGCGACCAACGAATTTCTCATATTTTAAGTGACAGGTAACAGGTTTCAGGTGACAGTGGTAAATAATACTAATATCAATGTTTGAATTTCTCATATTTCAAGTGACAGTGATAGGTGACAATAAATAATACTAATATAAATGTTTCTATTCAAATAAATCAAGCTAAATTAAGGTTAATTAAATTTATGTGACCACCGAATTTCCCATATTTTAAGTGACAGGTGACAGTAAATAATACTATTTTTCAAGTAATTTAAACTAAATTAAAATTAATTAAGTTTACCGAACTTTACATTATATATTCAAAAATGAGATGAAAGAAAAATTACAATTACAATTAAAATTGTTAATTAATAGCTCAAAAATGTTTATATGCTTCAGTTATACTTTAAAAATTTCAATTTAATTTAAGAATGAAAAGAAAAAAAAATAATAAAATAAGAAATTTATTTAAATTTCATTTGTTTGCTTTTTATTTTTTGCATTACCATTATTCATTAAAAAAATTTATTCATTTAAATTATTTTAAAAGAATTTATAAGTCAGAAAAAAATACGAATAAAACTTTAATAAATTTCTTATTGTAACATTTTTTCTTTTCACGAAAGTTTGGGAAAAAAAAATGATCGATTGCAAATGAAATTTAATTAAATGAATGATTTATTAGCGTTTAAAATGAATTAATTTTAGATTTGTCAATAATTTTAATTTAATTCTTGATATTACCATTTTATTAAATTTATCATTTATCATTTATTACTATCGTTACTATTTTATTGAAATTTAATTATTATCGTTTAAAATGAATTAATTTTAAATTTGTCAGTAATTTTAATTTAATTCTTGATATTACCATTTTATTAAATTTATCATTTATCATTTATTACTATCATTACTATTTTATTGAAATTTAATTATTATCGTTTAAAATGAATTAATTTTAAATTTGTCAGTAATTTTAATTTAATTCTTGATATTACCATTTTATTAAATTTATCATTTATCACTTATTACTATCATTACTATTTTATTGAAATTTAATTATTAGCGTTTAAAATGAATTAATTTTAAATTTGTCAGTAATTTTAATTTAATTCTTGATATTGCCATTTTATTAAATTTATCATTTATCATTTATTACTATCATCACTATTTTATTGAAATTTAATTATTATCGTTTAAAATGAATTAATTTTAAATTTGTCAGTAATTTTAATTTAATTCTTGATATTTCCATTTCATTAAATTTGTCATTTATCATTTATTACTATCATTACTATTTTATTGAAATTTAATTATTATCGTTTAAAATGAATTAATTTTAAATTTGTCAGTAATTTTAATTTAATTCTTGATATTTCCATTTTATTAAATTTATCATTTATTACTATCATTACTATTTTATTGTACTAAAATTTGAATTTATTTTTTTTTTTTTTTGTACAGCTTAAATTTGCATAAAGGTATGCAGTAATGAGCGTTGAAGTGACAGCTGAAAGTGAGCATTCATCATGGATTGATTTTAAACCCGGTCGAAGGTTAGCTAATTAAAAAATTTGATTAAACTGATTTTGAACCTGATCGAAGGTAAGTTAATAAAATTGATTTTGAACCTGGTGGAAGGTTAGCTAATTAAAGAAACGTTAGCTAATTAAAGAAAAGTTAATTAAATTGATTTTGAACCAGGTTTATAGTCGAAGGTTAGCTAATTAAAAAATTAATTAAATTGATTTTGAACCCGGTCGAAGGTTGACTAATTAAAAGAAAATTAATTAAATTAATTTTAAACTCGGTGGAAGGTTAGCTAGTTAAAAAATTTGATTAAATTGATTTTGAACCTGATCGAAGGTAAGTTAATAAAATTGATTTTGAACCCGCTGGAAGGTTAGCTAATTAAAGAAAAGTTAATTAAATTGATTTTGAACCTGGTCGAAGGTAAGTTAATAAAATTGATTTTGAACCCGCTGGAAGGTTAGCTAATTAAGGAAAAGTTAATTAAATTGATTTTGAACCTGATCGAAGGTAAGTTAATAAAATTGATTTTGAACCCGGTGGGAGGTTAGCTAATTAGAGAAAAGTTAATTAAACTGATTTTGAACCTGATCGAAGGTAAGTTAATAAAATTAATTTTGAACCCGGTGGAAGGTTAGCTAATTAAAGAAAAGTTAATTAAATTGATTTTGAACCAGGTTTATAGTCGAAGGTTAGCTAATTAAAAAATTAATTAAATTGATTTTGAACCCGGTCGAAGGTTGATTAATTAAAAGAAAATTAATTAAATTAATTTTAAACTCAGTAGATAGTTAGCTAATTAAAAAAATTGATTAAACTGATTTTAAACCCGGTCGAATGTAAATTAATTAAATTGATCTTAAACCTAGTCAAAGGTTAACTAAAAAAAAAAAAAGTTAATTAAATTAATTAAAATTGTTTAGGCTAAAAAGTATCTTTTGCGCACTTTTTTTTTTTTTCTTCCATTTATGGTGGAAAAGTTTCAAATTAAAAACAAAATTTTTTTTTTACATTTTTTTGTAAATTTTACAAATGATATTAGAGAAATTTAAAATTTAAAATTTTTTTTTTTTTTTTTTTGAAGATTTGGTAAATGGCGGATAAAAAATAAATTAGATGAAGGCGGCTTTGGACAAGTATATCGTGTTGAGCATATTCAACAACGTGGTCGTTATGCTGCATTAAAAGCTGAACCAAATGATATTGAAGGTGGATCAGCAATTAAACTTGAAGTTTGTTTAAAAAATAAAATTTTATAAAATTTATTTAAAAAAAAAAAAAAAGCATTTTGAAAGTAAGTATTTTCAAGGGAAATAAAAATTTTTTGTTTTTTGTTTATAAAATTTTTTTTTAACTTAAAAATTAATTTAATTAATAAAAATTAAACAATCTTGTGATAATTTAAAGTTAAAGAGTTTTATTTTGTTTTTTTGTTTGTTTTTTTAAAAAAAAAACTTTTGTGATTTAGATGATAATTTGAAGTTAAACTTAAAGTTAAAGAGTTTTGTTTTAAAATTAAACGATTTTGTGATTTAAAAATGATAATTTGAAGTTAAAGTTCAAGCGTTTTGTTTTTTTTTTTTTTTAAAAAAAAACTTTCGTGATTTAAATGATAATTTAAAGTCAAAGTTAAAATTAAAGGGTTCTGTTTTCAAACTAAACAATTTTGTGATTTAAATGATAAGTTAAACTTGAAATTAAAGAGTTTTGTTTTCAAACTAAACGATTTTGTGATTTAAATGATAAGTTAAACTTAAAATTAAAGAGCTTTGTTTTTAAACTAAACGATTTTGTGATTTAAATGATAAATTAAACTTAAAATTAAAGAGTTTTGTTTTTAAACTAAACGATTTTCTGATTTAAATGATAAGTTAAACTTAAAATTAAAGAGCTTTGTTTTTAACTAAACGATTTTGTAATTTAAATGATAATTTCAAGGTAACTTATAATTAGCAATTTATAGTAGTATAGTAATTATTAAATCATCAATGAGCATAAGTGTCAAATTTTATAGTTTTTTAAAAAAAAAAATTTTTTTTTTTTGAGAAAGAGCTCTAATTAGTTCGAAAATAAGTATTTTCAAAGTTTTTTTTTTATTAAATTTTTGTTTCTAAACCAAACAAATTTTTGGGAAATGATAATTTTGAAATTATAATCGAAATTAATTTTTGAATTTATTTTGTTTTTTAACTTATATTTAACAATTTATAGTAATTTAATAAATACTAAGATAGTGTGATAATTTGAATGATAAATTTACAGTTATATCAAAAGATGTTTCTTTTTTTTTTTTTAAATTTATATTTAGTAATTTATAGTTGTATAATATAATTACTAAATTGTAGATGAATATAAAAATTAATTTCTGAAGTTACAATTTCTTTCTTTTTTTTTTTTTTAAACCAACTTATCAAAGGTTGTTTTTTTTTTTAATAAAATTTAAATTAATTCAGATTATGATAATAAACTTTTTAAATCGTGATGGTGATAAGCCACATGTGGTAAAATTATTTCATGCTGCAAAACATAAAAAATTTTCATATATGATTGTAACATTACTTGGTGAAAATCTTCGAACACTTAAAGTAATTATTATTATTACTTTTTTTTTGTTCATTTTAATTTTTAATTAATTAAAATTCATAAATTCATTAAATTTTAACTTATTAAAAAAAACAAATTTCATAAACTTTCAACTTTTCTAAATTTAAAATTTGAAAAGTTAATTTTAAAGCGGAATATTTGCTATATATATATTAAAATGATAAGAAAACAAAACAAAAAAAGAATGTGTTGTGATAAATTTGATAAATTTGTTAAAGATAAGTTGTCAAGGAGAATATTTATCAGTGGAAACATGGTCTCGAATTGGTATACAATGTTTGTATAGCATAAAATTATTACATGATATTGGCTTTGTACATCGTGACATTAAGCCAGCTAATTTTGTTATGGGACATGAAAGTGATGTTGAGCAAGCAAGATGTGTTCATATTTTAGATTTTGGATTAGCACGGTGATTTGTTTATTTATTTTCTAATTTAAAAGAAAAGAGAGATATTTATTTATTTATCTTTGAATTTAAAAAAAAAGAGAGGTGCTGATTTATTTATTTTCTAATTTAAAAGAAAGAGAGATATTTATTTGTTTATTTTTTTTATTTATCTTCTAATTCAAAAAAAAAAGAGATATATTTATTTATTTGTTTATTTATCATTTAATTAAAAAAAAGAGAGAGATGCTTATTTATTTATTTGTTTATTTATTTTCTAATTTAAAAGAAAGAGAGATATTTATTTATTTATTTTTTTTATTCAAAAAAAATTCAAAAAAAAAAGAGATATATTTATTTATTTGTTTACTTATCATTTAATTAAAAAAAAGAGAGAGATGCTTATTTATTTATTTGTTTATTTATTTTCTAATTTAAAAGAAAGAGAGATATTTATTTCTTTGTTTACCTATCTTTTAATATAAAAAAAAAGAGAGGTACTGATTTATTTATTTGTTTATTTATTTTCTAATTTAAAAAAAAGAGAGATATTTTTTTATTTGTTTATCTATCTTTTAATATAAAAAAAAGAGAGGTACTGATTTATTTATTTGTTTATTTATCTTCTAATTCAAAAAAAAAAATGAGATATATTTATTTATTTGTTTATCTATCTTTTAATATAAAAAAAAGAGAGGTACTTATTTATTTACTTGTTTATTTATCATTTAATTAAAAAAAAGAGGGATATTTATTTATTTATTTATTTTATTTATCTTCTAATTCAAAAAAAAAAATGAGATATATTTATTTATTTGTTTATTTATCATTTAATTAAAAAAAAGAGAGAGATTTATTTATTTGTTTGTTTATTTATTTTCTAATTAAAAAAAAGGGATATTTCTTTTCACTTGTTTATTTATTTCCTAATATTAAAAAAAAAGAGATATTTATTTATTTTCTAATTAAAAAAGAGAGTGTAAAAGAATTGAAAGGAGGAAAAAAAATTGAATGGAAAAAGCTTCAAAAAAAAAATTGATGAAAGAATTTATTTATTTATTTATTTTCTAATTGAAAGAAAAAAGAAGCAAAAATTAAATGAAAAAAAAAAGAAGAAAAAGAAAATTGATGAAAGAAAAGAAATTATTTTAAGATAAATAAAAATTAAAATATTTACTTCGATTAGAATAAATTAAATATCTATGTAAATAAATTAAATATCTATGTAAATAAATGAAATATCTATGTAGATATTTCATTTTTTTTTGTTCTGAAATAAAAAATATAAATTGATATGAAATTATCAGCATATTACTGATAAAAATAAAATATTTAAATTATAAATGTAATAAATTTATAATAAAATAAAATACAGAATGAAAATTTCTTTCATTTCTTTTTTCTTTAATAAAATAATTTCTAACATAAAATATTGTTATTAATTTAAAAAAAAAAAGTTTTAAATATATTTTTATAAGAAAAGAAATAACAATAAAAAAAAAAACTGAAAAATTTTTATACGATAAATTTTTCGTAAAATTTTTACAGTAATTATGCATTTGAAAAACGTAAAGGTCATTGGATAGCACGTCGAGCACGTCGTTCAGCGGAATTTCGTGGTACAATGCGCTATTGTTCACCATCAGTTCATGAAAAGAAAGAACAGGTGTTGAAATGTGTAAATGAAATAGAAAAGAAACAAAAAGTTTAATAAAGTTTGGAGAAAAAAAAGTAGGAAGGAAAAAGCTTAATTAATTGATTAATTAGAGATGTTGCATTCAATTCCTAGTTGATTACTAATTTTCATTTAAAAGTATTTAATATCTAATTGATTATTAATTTCTATTTAAAAGTATTTAATATCTAATTGATTACTATTTTTAATTTAAAAGTATTTAATATCTAATTGATCATTTTTTTATTTAAAAGTATTCAATATCTAATTGATTACTATTTTTTAATTTGAAAGTATTCAATATATAATTGATTACTATTTTTATTTAAAAGTATTTAATATGTAATTGATTACTATTCTTAATTTAAAAGTATTTAATATCTAACTGATTACTATTTTTCATTTAAAAGTATTTAACATCGAATTGATTATTAATTTTTATTTAAAAGTATTTAATATCTAATTGATTATTTTTTAATTTGAAAGTATTCAATATCTAATTGATTATTAATTTTAATTTATTACATATTTGTTTTCATTTTATTTTCCTTAAAATTACTATTATTCTCTTTTTCGTAATTCATTTTGTTATTTATTAATTTAATAGTAAATTTATATTAAAATTAAGAAAATGTTTATTTCATTTATTTACATTAAAAATAAGAAAATGTTTATTATTTTATTTAAAAAAGGGAAAAAAAAAACAATATGCGAAATAAATTTAAAACCAAAATATTAGTAATAATATGAAAAATCTGCAAAAAAAAAAAAAAAAAAAAAAAAAAAATAAAAAAAATGAAAAATTTTTTTAGGGACGTAAAGATGATATTTGGTCATTAATTTATTTATTAATTGAAATGCATTGTGGCTTACCATGGCAACATGAAAGAGATAAGGAACGATTGGAAATTAAAAAAATGAATATAAGTGATAAGGATTTATTATCACATTTTCCAGGTTTTATTATCAAAATTTCCTTTGATTGATTGATTGATTGATTGATTGATTGGTTGTTTGATTGATTGATTTGATTAATAATTATTAGGTATTAACGAGAATATGAAAGAGAAAAAGATTGAAGGGAACGTAAAAGATTTCAAAAAGATTAGTTGATTGGTTGATCGATTGATTTGATTGATTGATTGGTTGATTGACTGATTTGATTGATAATTATCAGATATTAACGAGAATATGAGAGAGGAAAAGATTGAAGAAAACGTAAAAGATTTCAAAAAGATTAATTGATTGGTTGATCGATTTATTGTTCGCTTGATTGATTTACTGGTTAATCGAGTGATTGATTGATTTTATTAATTAACTAATTAGTTGATTGATTGAATAATTGATTGATTGGGTGATTGATTGATTTGATTGATGATTATCAAATATAAACGAGAATATGAAGGAGAAAAAAATTAAAGAGGATGTAGAAGATTCCGGAAAGATTAATCGATTGGTTAATTGATTGATCGATTGATTGATTAATTGGTTGGTTGATTGATTTACTGGCTAATCGAGTGATTGATTGATTTTATTAATTAATTAATTAGTTGAATGAATAATTGATTAACTGATTGATTGGTTGAATAATTGATTGATTGATTGATTGATTTACTGATTAATCGAGTGATTGACTGCTTTTATTAATTAATTAATTAGTTGACTGATTGATTGATTGATTGATTGATTGATTGATTGATTGATTGATTGATTGATTGATTGATTGATCGACTGATTGATTGATTGATTGAATAATTGATTGATTGGGTGATTGATTGATTTACTGGCTAATCGAGTGATTGGTTGATTTTATTAATTAATTAATTAGTTGACTGATTGATCGATCGATTGATTGATTGACTGATTGATTGCTTGATTGATTGATTTACTGATTAATCGAGTGAATAATTGATTTTATTAATTAATTAATTAGTTGACTGATTGATCGATCGATCGATTGATTAATCGAGTGAATGATTGATTTATTTAATTAATTAATTAATTAATTCATTGATTGATTGATTATTAAGTTTCTTTTTACACACTTACATATTTAATTTATTTGAATTTAATTTATTTAAAATATTATTTTATAGAAGAGTTACATCCAATAGTTTCACATTTACGAAATTTAAATTGCTACAATCGTCCAGATTATACAATGATACATAAATGTTTTCTTAAATTAATTAAACGAATTGATGTACACTATGATGATCGATATGATTGGGAATCTGATTTACAACTTCAATATGTGGTGTGGTCTTTTTTTTTAAAAAATTAAATTTAAAGTTAAATAAAAATAAAACAAGTAAAAAATAAATTTATTTTAATTAATTAAATATAAGCAAAAATGCTACTACTATTTTTTTTTCTCTTTTAATAAGCATTTTAATTCGTTTTCTTAAAAAAACAAAAATTAAATTCTAATTTTAATTAAAATTTTTTCTTTTTAATTAAATTTTCAAATTCTTTGTTTTTTTTTTTAATTAAAAATTTGAAAATTCGTTTTTTTTTTTTTTTAGTTAAAGCATCGAAAAAAACGACCAGAATATGAGCATGCTGAAGAATTTTTTGCATCTGATCCAATCAAAGTGAATGGACCACCACCAGCTGAATTAAATATGCGTCGAAGTAATGAATGATTTTAATTTTTTATTTGTTTTTTAAATTTAAATTCAAATTTTTTAATTAAATTTTTTAAATTCAAATTCAAAAATAACAAATTAAAAATTTTTAAAATCTTAATTTGATTATAACAATTGAGTCAAAAATGATTTCGTTTGCATTTTTTTTTTATGCATCGAAGTAATGAATGATTTTAATTTTTTATTTGTTTTTTTTTAAATTCAAATTTAAATTTTTCACTTAAACTTTTTAAATTCAAATTCAAAAATAACAAATTAAAAATTTTTAAAATCTTAATTTGATTATAACAATTGAGTCAAAATTGATTTCGTCTGCATTTGTTTGCTTTTTATTTAATTTCATTTTTTTTTTGTAAAATTTAATTTTTTGTTTTTTTAAAAAGAAAATTTTACAGATAAAACAGCGGAAGATTTAGAAGAAATGTTGGCTAATAATTCATCATTATTAAAAGCAAAAATACAACATAAAGAACAAAAAAAAAAACATTGAATTGATAAAATTTGCAAATTATAATTTGTTAATAATTTGAAAATTAAAAATTATATTCATTATTGGTGTTAAATCAATTTCAAATTATATTTCAAAAATAAATTTGTAAGTTAAAAATTAGACAATAAAATTTAAATTATATTCAATTTCAATTAAAACAATTTCAAATTATATTTCGAATAAGTTAAGTTAAAATAAAGTAAGTTAAAAAAAAAAATCAAATTTAATCTTTAAATTAATATTTAAAGTCAATAATGTTAAAAAAAATAAAAAATAAAAAAAAAATGAAAGTTAAGAATTAAACAATAAAATTTAAATTATATTCAATTTCAATTAAATCAATTTCAAATTATATTTCGAATAAGTTAAGTTAAAATAAAGTAAGTTAAAAAAAAACAATAAAATTTAATCTTTAAATTAATATTTAAAGTCAATAATGCTAAACAAAAAATAAAAAATAAAAAAATTATCTTTAAAAAAAAATGAAAGCTAATATTTTAGCATTTTGCTAATAGTAATGACTAGGCTAATAAATAAAATAGCCAAGGATATTATTCAAATATATTTTATAATTTTAAAACAATGAATTAAACATTTGTTTTCTTTTTGTTTTTATTTATTTATTTATTTGTTTTTGTTTTTGTTTTTTTTTAATTTTTATTTCTATGAAAATGAAATTATAGCAACAATAATTTAAAAATGATGTGATTAAGCTGCTTTTAATGTTATTAAAAATAATTTTCATTATCAAAACAAGTTTTATAATTGATAAAAAATTTTAATTAAGTAATTTAGCAAATTAAAATTTAATTCACAAATTCCGATTAAAATATTTTCTCAAATCGATTAATTTTTATAATTTAAATGAGAAGAAGAAAAGAAAATTAAACGCATTGCAATGTTTGCTAATTATATAAGAAATAATTTTATTGCAAATTTAATCATTCGCTTTTTTTTTTTTTTAATAAAATAAATTTGAAATAAATAATAATTGCAGAAATTTGCAAAAAGAAAAGAAATATTTCAAAAAGATTTAATTTAAAAAAAAAAAATTTATTTATTTCATTTTGTTACATTGCATAAAACAATGTTTGAAAATAATAATTTTAAATAATAATAATAATATTAATAAATTTATTTATTTATTTCACATAGAAATAATAAAATCATTTTTCTATTCGCAATTTTTTTACGAAGTTATTTTCAACTATTTTTTTTTTTTTAAATAAAGTTTAAAATTGTTATTAATTTAGTAATTTTAAATGATATTAATGATATCAATAAATTTATTTATTTATTTATTTCACATAGAAACAATAAAATCATTTTTCTATTTGCAACTTTTTTTTACAAAGTTATTTTCAACTATTTTTTTTTAAAATAAAGTTTAAAATTGTTATTAATTTAGTAATTTTAAATAATATTAATGATATCAATAAATTTATTTATTTATTTATTTTACATAGAAATAATAAAATCATTTTTCTATTTGCAACTTTTTTTTACAAAGTTATTTTCAACTATTTTTTTTTTTAAATAAAGTTTAAAATTATTATTAATTTATAATATTTGAAAAATTTTTCTACATTAGCTAATTCACTTCAATTTTTTTCTATTTATAGCCAAAAAAAAATTCTTTCGTCATTTGAATATGTTTATTGCTTATTTGGAGCATTGATCTATTATTTAATGCATTAATAAAATAGCTAAACATAAGATTTGTTTACTTCCATTTTCATTTTCTTTCTTTCTTTCTTTTACCCTCCCTCCCTCTCTCTCCCTCTCTCTCTCCCTATTATTTTTTATGCAACCTTTTTGTTATATTTTATTTTGACATTAATAAAATAGCTAAACTCAAGATTTGTTTACTTCCATTTTCATTTTCTTTCTTTCTTTCTTTTACCCTCCCTCTCTCTCTCTCTCTCCCTCTCTCTCTTTCTCATTTCTTATGCAACTTTTTTGTTATATTTTATTTTAATAATTTGCTGCATTTTGTTTTTTTTTAAGCATTTAACAGAGAGAATTTATTCAAATAATTTGAGTTTATAATTTTTAGTTATTTAAATTTTTTTTTTAAATAATTTTTAGCTATTTTTAGCTATTTGTTAACTAATTTGAGATTATAAAATTGAAATTGTAATAATTTTTAGCATTTATGCATTCGAGAAAACATTTTTCAACTATTTCACCTGTCGCATAATATCATTTGTGATTATAAATTATGCTAAAATAACAATAATAATAATAATAAGTTAAAAGTAAAACGAAATTGGTAAATTAGGAAAATTATGAAATATTAATTAAGCAAATAAATAATTTGTTTACAAATCACAAAAATCACAGTAATATATTCTTATAATTGTTTACAATCACAAATCACAGTAATATATTTTTGTAATTTGTTTACAATCACAAATTACAGTAATACTTTTTTATATTTTGTTTGCAATCACAAATTACAGTAATATATTTTTATAATTTGTTTACAAATCACAGTAATGTATTCCTATAATTTGTTTACAAATCACAAATCACAGTAATATATTCCTGTAATTTGTTTACAATCACAAATTACAGTAATATATTTTTATAATTTGTTTGCAATCACAAATTACGGTAATATATTTTTATAATTTGTTTACAATCACAAATTACAGTAATATATTTTTATAATTTGCTTACAATCACAAATTACAGTAATATATTTTTATAATTTGTTTACAATCACAAATTACAGTAATATATTTTTGTAATTTGCTTACAATCACAAATTACAGTAATATGTTTTTATAATTTGTTTACAATCACAAATTACAGTAATATATTTTTATAATTTGTTTACAAATCATAGTAATGTATTCCTATAATTTGTTTACAAATCACAAATTACAGTAATATATTTTTATAATTTGTTTACAATCACAAATTACAGTAATATATTTTTATAATTTGGTTACAAATCACAATAAAATATTCCTATAATTTGTTTACAATCACAGATTACAGTAATATATTTTTATAAATTGTTTACAAATCACAAAAATCACAGTAATATATTTTTATAATTTGTTTACAATCACAAATTACAGTAATATATTTTTATAATTTGTTTACAATCACAAATTACAGTAATATATTTTTATAATTTGTTTACAATCACAAATTACAGTAATATATTTTTGTAATTTGTTTACAATCACAAATTACAGTAATATGTTTTTATAATTTGTTTACAATCACAAATTAGAGTAATATGTTTTTATAATTTGTTTACAAATCATAGCAATGTATTCCTACAATTTGTTTACAAATCACAAATTACAGTAATATATTTTTATAATTTGTTTACAAATCACAATAAAATATTCCTATAATTTGTTTACAATCACAGATTACAGTAATATATTTTTATAAATTGTTTACAAATCACAAAAATCACAGTAATATATTTTTATAATTTGTTTACAAATCACAGTAATATAATTTGTATAATTTGTTTACAAATCACAAATTACAGTAATATATTTTTATAATTTGTTTACAAATCATCGAAGTATATTACTGGCATTTAATAAAAGCCTTTATGGCAGTACTTTTTAATTTTTAATTATCAGATGAATGATGTCATAAATGCAAATTAGGTTTGAAAGTGATATGACGTTAAAAGGTAAATAAGAAATTCGCTAAGCTAATATAATATAAAATATTCATTTCTTTAGGAAAGAAAAAAAAATTTTTTTTTCTAGAATTTAAAAATGAAAAAATGACTTTTTTAAATTTTAGAAAATTGATTAAATTAGTAAAAATTTGAAATTTTAAGCTTTTTTATTGTTTTTCCATTTTTGTATTACCAATTTTAATTTTCGATTTTTGTTTTGTTTTGTTTTTTTTTTTTTTTTTTTTTAAGTTTTTAAGTGCAATTTCAATTTTTAATTTTTAATTTTTTGTAACTGGACTAAATTTGAACATTTTTTTTTTTCTTTTTACTAATATAAAGAAATTTTAGCTGATTAGAAATTTCAGAAATAACTTTGAAATTTATTCTCAATTGAAAATTGATTCTTTAAAATTTTAAAAAAAGTAACATTTTTCATAGTAATATCAGGTCATTCTTCAATTTTATTTTATTTTTTTTTTTTGTTTTGTTTTTCAGTTGTGATTTTAATGAATAATAATTTATTATTAAATATTGATTATTTATCACTAAATACTAATCATTTATCATCAAATATTAATCTTTTATCATTGAATATTGTTTATTTATCATTGAATATTGACCATTTATCATTGATTATCAATTATTTGTTATTGAATTTTGATCATTTATCATTAAATATTGATCATTTATCGCTGAATATTGATTATTTATCATTGAATATTGATTATTTATCATTGAATATTGATTAATTATCATTAAATATTGATTATTTATCATTAAATATTGATCATTTATCGCTGAATATTGATTATTTATCATTGAATATTGATCATTTATCATTAAATATTGATCAATTATCGTTGAATATTGATCATTTATCATTGAATATCGACCATTTATCATTAAATATTGATTATTTATCATTGAATATTGATTATATATCATTGAATATTGATTATTTATCACTGAATATGATTAATTATCATTAAATATTGATTATTTATCATTGAATATCGATCATTTATCATTGAATATTGATCATTTATCATTAAATATTGATTATTTATCATTGAATATTGATTGTTTGTCATTGAATATTGATCATTTATCATTAAATATTGATTATTTATCATTGAATATCGATCATTTATCATTAAATATTGATTATTTATCATCGAATATTGATTAATTATCATTGAATATTGATTGTTTATCATTGAATATCGATCATTTATCATTGAATATCGATCATTTATCATTGAATATTGATCATTTATCATTGAATATCGATCATTTATCATTGAATATTGATCATTTATCATTGAATATCGACCATTTATCA